AGAAACAGAATTTCTATTTTTCACTTTTCGTCTCCGGAGCCGTTAGATGGGATTGTGTTTCGCCTAGGGTTTTATTTTGTCTCATCAATAGAATTAATTTCTTGCATGGTGGCAAGTGAATAACCTGAAAAAAACGCGAGGCATTGTTAATTTCACGACCGTCAAATTGAATTATCAGGGATGGAATGTTAACAAGACTTGTTAAAGCCTTACAAATTTTGCTTATCTCTAAAGCTGTTTTGTTCATGGTTTGAAAAGGAAATTTGATACTATCAATCAGCATAACCTATCCTGTAAAAGTAGCCAGTTAAAGAAACCTAGTTATAAAATACAACAGGCAACACTTCACCACATGACGTATTAAATTACTTACTGAAAACTTAAATGATTGCATCCAATTCTGGGGGTTTGATCCATTTGGTCCTTTTTCTCATCTCAAGAGATGTGGAGAAATTTGCACTGCTTATGCTTTTAAAAAGAAATTTTGTTCTTATCATATTGGCAAAATATATTCTGTGATGGCACACATACCTGTATCGACGAACACTGTAACAAATTATTGAAATACTCTACTTAGAGCATGGTATATCTAACCACTTATTTTTTTTACAAAACTGAATTCTCAACTGTCTGTTGATTTAAAACTGTCGAAGCAGAGGAATTGCAACACTGAAAAGAAACAAAAGTTCCACTGTTAGAAAAAGATTAGCATAGCATCAGAGGACATGCCACCTCTCTGCAGGTTCAGGGCACCTGTTATGGAGTTTAACATATATTTCTTTTTGGTCCCAAAGGCACCATAGATGTCAAACTGGCGTAGCTAACAAATCACAAAATGACGAGCTCAACAATGAAAAGAAAAAACCGTCAATACGAAACGAGATTGTTAAGGCGTTTCTATTTATTAACTTTTATGATCCAAACAGTGTGAAATATCTGTTTAATTTGCTTCCCGAGGTCCTGTTGATTAAAAACTGTCGTAGCGAACAAATTGCACAATAAAAAGTTCAGCGATGAAAAGAAACTAAAGTTTCGTCAACACAAAAAGAATAATGTAGTACAGGTACTCTAAGGTATGACACATCTGGGCATGTTTACGAAATTGTTAAAATTTCCTTAGCTCACTCTTGGGTGAAAAAATCGTGTAACTTAAAGGGATAACAACTGTTCATTTTGGCCAAAAATGAATTTTCCTGGGGTTAACAGCAATTTTCCCATACGTACCAATGGTATATGAAACAGTTTCTACACTCAAGATTAGTACCTGCTTTTTCTTCTAAAAATAATCTTAAGAGATTATTACAGAATATAGCCAGCTATAGAGGTCACATGGTATGATGGCTAGCACAAATTCAAATTTATTGCTATAACTGCTGCGGTTTTGCTGGTAAAAAAGAATATATTGTATTTCTATAAGTTGTTTGCAATGTATTTTTTGTAAAATATAGATTTCATACGGAGAGTTGTTATCCCTATAAGCATTTTTCTTCTTCACTAATACCTCATAATGGAATTTCTATTGGTTTTTCTTATCCCAAGAACTGGGTGAAATATCAATATATAGAATAAAAATACTATAACAAGTAACAATAATTTAACGTTAAATCACCCAGAAAAAAAAAATGTTCAAATCGCTTTGAATAGTACTACAGCGAAGTGTATGTTGCCCGAGCGACACAATGGAATTTGATTTGCATAGCTCCAAAAAAGTTGATGGTATATATTACATTTTGCAGCACCCTGTAATTCTTGGAAAGCCACGCCCACTGCCAAGCAACCACATCACGTGATTACATGTTTGCTCTGTCAATTATGCTATATCAAGTGAACGCTAGAGTGTGCTGCCTAGAAATCAAATTTTATAATCATACAGATTTTAGAAGTTTGTAGCGGAGAGGCGACAACGCAAGCTTTAGATTAACATGCACAGATTCAAAATGGAAACAACTTCAACCGAATATTCCAACCAGTGGTCGAACACTGAAGTGAACGTTGCCTTATGTGGGATTTCGGGTTCAGGAAAATCTCAGTTCATCAACACAATTCTTGGACTGAGAGCTGACGACCCTGGCGCGGCGCCCGTAGATTCCTTTGGTTCGCAAAGTATCACAGGGCAATATAGACACCCAGAGCAGCCAGGCCTTATTTTCTGGGATTTGCCTGGAATTGGAACTGGTAAATTTGGCAGAGATAATTATTTAGAAACTGTTAACTTTGACACTTATGATTTCTACTTGATATTTGGACGAGGGAGATTCTATGAAGAAGACGCGTGGTTTGTTAAACAGGTCAACCTACGACGAAAACGTTTCTTTTACGTTCGAACGCACATTGACCAGGACATAGCATCCAAGAAAAGAGGGGGTGACAAAACTTCAGTCGAGGAATCATGCCTAGATACCGTTCGAAATGACTGCGAGACTCAAATTCAACACGCTGGCATTAAAGCGGCCCATACTAAAGTCTACTTGATATCTACACGGTTGCAAGACAAAGACAAATGGGACTTTCCCAAGTTGAACTCGGACATGCTTCAGCTTCTACCTCGTATAAAAAAAGAAACAGTTGCAGTGGCCATATCTGTGCCGTATCCTTCCGCTATCAGAGTCAAAAGCCAATACCTGCTCGATAATGTCTGGCGTACTGTTTTTCTGTCAGGGATACTAGCTGCGGTCCCCGTTCCGCTTCTCCCCCTTGTTGTTGAATATTTTTTAACTCTACGGCAGATAAGAACTTATACGAATAGCATAACACAAATGGAACTTTCGTGGAGACGTTTGGGTCTCACGAGCTCATGGAAATTTCAAGTTGCAGGTGTTGGCAGGCTTCTTAGCGAGTTCTTAAAGTTAAACCTCTACTTCATGGTGAGCCCGTACTGTATCCATATCACCGTGTTTGCGTGTGCATTGTCGGCATTTCTGTCTTATCGTATGACAGGTTTCATACTACACAGGGCTTTGAAAATTATCGAAGACGAAATGTTAAAAATGTTCAAATAACTTTTCAGACATAACCAAAAGACATGAGAGAGACGTGATTGATATTGTAATAATAATGTTCTATTTAATCTTTCCTTCTTATTGTTAAATCATTGTTGTTGTTCGTAAAGATTGAAATTTAGATTACAACCAATCAATCAATTTGATTTTAGTAATATTCTTTGCATTTAGTGAATATCCATCTGGACTGTCAGGAAAACATTGCTTTGTCTGTCCCTTGCTTAGTTTATTAAATTTTGAAAATAATTTTCCTTTGTTATGTTGTTCAATGCTTCGTATTTAATCTTCGTTTGGATTTGTAGGTATCTAAGACTTAAGCAATAGTATAAGAAATGAAAGGCGCAATAAAGACATAGAAAGAAAGACTTCAAAATGGATAAGTTGTGCGAATAACAGAGGCAAATAATGTCGTGTGTCTGTTACTATTGTGTGTAATTTTTGGAATATTTTGCTTCAAATGTTTTAAGTTACATTCAAATTTGATATTAAATATAAATAATAAAATGACATCTGCAAATCATGAATATTTTTATTGAAACCATACCTTCTCGAAACCCTTATCTCCTTCATTTAGTACACAGATACTGTATGTGTAATGTTATTATTCTTATAGCAACGAGCTCGCGTCGTTTTTATTGCATAGGCCTAACATGAAAGAGAAAAAATTATTACGGTTACACTCTTATCTTAATTATTTTAAGTACACTGTAGTTGTGTGGTACAAAGGGAAATCTATTCCTGTACATGCTTCTTACTCGCGAAAATATTCTCAAGTTTATTGGTCTGTTTGTTTGTTTGTTTGTAGGCAATTTTCATGATAAGAGGCCATAATTTTAGGGATTTTTGTTTGTAGAATACTAATGAACCCTACATCAGCATCACGCTCATGGTCTTTACGTAAAAATATCCAGAAGATAAAAGAAAAATTAATATGGCACAGCCCACTGACAACTAAGAACATTGAAACTGGATAATTACCAAAACGTTGATTAGACCGGTGGACTAAGTTTTACGCACAGAAGTTAAACAAACAGTACATTTTATTTTTTTTTCATTAAAACGACAGCGGTCATCGGTTGATTTGACTATGATATAGACAGACATTGAAAACGGACCGATAGAATTATTTGTTTAACTCATTACTAACATTAACATTGATAAACGAATTAGTTTTTCTATCTTTAAAATACTCTACACAGTTAATTTTATAGATTTTCTTGGTTCTTATGAGGTTATAGTCTTCTACTTGCCGAGATGTTTCGATGCAAACCAAATGTAAAGATAACTGGCTATTCTTATTCATCTGAATTGGTTAAATAATTTGGAAACCACTGTAGGTCCCAGACACGTCACCGCTAAACCGGAATAAAAGAGGAGCGTCATTCGGGGGTGATCCATTTTTATCGGAGCTGATGTGAAATCATGTAAGTTTTTTTTTGACATTCCATACATTTATAAAGGTTATTGAAGATTTTTCTATAAGGCAGGGGAAAGGCCCAATCATTCCATTTTTTCCATTTGTTACTTGAATTTTAGACAAATACCTAGAAATAATGTTATTATAAATGAGCAGTGACTGGAACGCAAATTCCTCACTTTTCAAAGATGCACAGGTTTGATGCTTTATGATGTAAACTTCGTGAATTTAGTTTACTGGTCAATGCACATTTTTCGGAACCTCGGCGTTTTCCATAAGTTTAAACTGGATTAGGGTATCGTAAGACTGCGAAGAATCTAAGCTTAGTTGTCATTGCATCAAATTGACCTTAAGTAATTAAACGCCTATCTTTTACATGGGACATGCACATGGGACGTATAAGAGTGATGCTTTTAAGTTGCCCATACATTTAGCATCTTGGACTGATGGATGGTTTAGCTTCTTGCAAAGCTGTTGCAATGGTTTCTTTTTCATTATTCAAATTTAGTTTTTTTAAAGAAGAAGATTTCTTTTGCGGTTTTGTTCCAATTAGAAGTTTATCATTGCAGGTTTTTAAAATAACAATGGCAGAAAAATCACAAGAGGAATCCGAATACAAGTATGTTGGAGCAGAGGAACTCGAAGAGTTTGAAACTTACTATGAAGAAAAAGGTTTCGAACAATTCGCAGAATTCATGGCAAACAAGATAAAAGAAGTCGAAAATGTCCCTGTGAAAATTGCAGTGACTGGAATTTCCGGTACAGGGAAATCTGCCTTCGTGAACACATTTCGAGGACTTAATGCAGATAATGAAGGTGCCGCTAAGGTTGGATCATTAGAGACAACAATGGTTCCAACGGAGTACCGCCATCCAAATAATAAAAACGTTACCCTGTGGGACTTACCTGGAGTTGGCACGTCCAAATTTAACAAAGACAATTACGAGGAAAAGGTTAACTTTGATTCATACGACTTCTTCCTTATCTTTACCAGAGGCCGTATTTTTGAGGACGATATATGGCTTGCTAAAAGAGCTCAGCTTCGGGGTAAGAACTATTTCATTGTCAGGACACATATAGATGTTGACATGAAAGGTGACAAATCAACACACCCACATACACATGATGCCAATAAGTTACTGAAGGAAATCCGTGATGGTACCAAGAGGCTGCTTGAAGAAGTTGGTGTCTATCCAAAAGACGGTGTTTATCTAATATCTACACTCCTCAAACATGTACACAAGGATTTATGGGATTATCGCAAACTAGAAAATGATATGCTGCATAAACTACCCCGTGAAAAACGCGAAGTGCTTACCTTGTCTCTCAACAATCTGTCCAAAAATTTGATCAAAGAAAAGTGCGAGATACTTCGAAGTCGCCTTAAACAAAAGGCCATGTTATTGGCATTGAAAGGGTTTGTCCCTTCTGGTTTAAAAGATTTCATGCCACAAGAAGTTTTAGACTTTATAGATAATGAAATGACTAGTTATAGACAAGCGCTGGGGCTAGACGACGGTACCTTAAGGCGTCTTTCGCAAAGAACTGGCATAGAACTGGAAAGCCTTATTTCAGAGACAACCGAAATAATCGAAATGCCAACTTTGCGAATTACTGGAGACGTTGTGATGATGCTCATGGCTTGTGCCATCGACCCTGTGCTAATTGTACATCCTGCAATTTCATTTTTTTCCAAATTGGGCGTTGGATTTGGTGTAGCATACGAGTCAGCCTACAGGTTGCTGCACGATATTTTGGGTCGTCTGGAAACCGCCTCACTCAGAGTTATCGAGAAGATGCCCTCAACCCAACATACAGAATCCCTAAAGGCGACTTTGTCTTCTACCCCATATGGAGTTCTGTACGACAGAACACAAGGTGGAGATGACGAAGCCTGACATTGTGAGACACACTATTGTCCGTTTATGAAGATTAAAGACAGCCATTTCATGTACCGATTGCCCAATTTTCAATCCAATGAACCGAATTTTCATAGAGTTTGTTTACTTCTGGATTTATTTTGACTATAAGGCTGGAATAGCTTACATGAACCAGTGATTTGTGATGTTTTTATTGTGATTTCCTTATACAGTATATACATGAGCATTTTATGTTGTATATATATCAGAAATTAAAGAAATAATAGCATATATTGAAGCTTGAAACCAGACTATTCTTTTATATTATACATGTATGTACAAATATGCTTTGTTGTGGAGTTCTAGCATCTACTTTTTTATGCCAGGCAGACAATTAGACAAAGTTAATTAAGAAGGTTATTTTAATAATATGAAAATGCAGCTATTATTTCAATACATTAGAAATTGATGTTCCTAAAATCATAGGAACGTCATGAAACAGTGAAAATTACCGCATTTCTGTTCACGTGGTGAACATGTATATATAAATAAATTTAGTGAAATTCTTTCATATTCTAAATATATTAAATATATAAGGATTATAGGCAGTTAAAAACTAACAAATGGATTTTTTTCATAAAAAAAGAATAAAAAAAATTCAAACCAACTCCAAGAAAGATTATTTTATAATGAAACATGGAAATTACACGCCATGTTTTAAATGAATCGCAACATAAAACAAGTGATAAGTTTATGAAATATATAGAGCAAAGCCTGGTTTTCACATACCTATCCCGCTACTTCTAAGTGCGGTTTAAGGTTTAAAGTAGATGGCAACATGCCTGGAACACTCTTTCGTCCTAATTTAGATTGAATCTAGTCGATCCCACCTTTTTGATTGGTGAAATGACCACCGCGGTATGGTTCTTAGAGAAAACTTTCACACCAATGCCCTAGACCGGGATCTTTATCTGTGTGCTCATACCACTGAACACACTGATACCACTGTCACTGGACAGAGGACATTTGCTGCAAAGATGAGTTACACTCGTATTTCAGTTTGTCATATTAGGTGTCATGCAGTGTGTTAGAGAAGACTCGTCATCTCCTACGCACTGCCATATATAACATTTCTGTCTTAACAATGCATAAACGTTTCTTTCAAATCAAATACTGCAGCTAAGTTAAAACCTACCCCCCCCCCCNCCACCGGCAATCGAAACCAGCTTCCCACTCGCTTTCAGTGTCAAGACAGGTAGATTCAGAGAGGTATCAATCCCTCTTCGTTTTCCATCCCGCCTACATTTTGTAAAAAAAATGTTGTTGTGGACTTCTTGCGTCTGAGGTTTTTATGCTGGGCAGAAAATGAAAATTATAGCCAGTAGGAACCTAAAAAATGGAATATTTTTCACCCCCCCCCCCAAAAAAAAAAAATGATCAGAAACGACCAAAGGAAGGATTTTTCATTATGAAATGTTGTTATAAATAAATAAATAATTAACTGAGTCAAGGTCAATTATTAACAAGTGTAATTGTCAAGCCATGATTTAATGATTCGCAACATAAAAGACGTGGTGATTTTATAAAGTAAATAAAGCAAAGTCTGGTTCCCACACACCCCACCCCACTACTTCTTAGTGCAGTTAAGGGTACAAAGTAGATGGCGTCATGCCTAACATACTTTTTCGCCCTGATTTAAATTGAATCTAGACGATCTCATCTCCCTGAGTAGTGAAAAGACAACCCCTTAATGGATTTTAGATTGAAATTAAACACCAATGCCCTTTATACCGATCTTAAACTGGATACACTGATGATTTGACGAAGACAGACGACCCTGTTACACGTGCATTTTTATGTGTATCTGTGCCATGGACTCTTTTCACAAATCACTTATCATAAAACATATAATATATCATTTCAGTTTTCTTTGGTTTGATCAAAGTAGGCTAAAATAACTCACTCAACGTGTTAATCCAATCTTAGTACTAGTTTACTTTGTAAAATCTTATCGGTCTCTAGTGTCCAACTCGGTGTCATGCAGTGTGTTAGAGAAGACTGGTCACCTCTCGCGCACCACGATATATGGCTTAATAATGCATACAGGTAACAGTTTTTTTTCAAATACCCCCCCCCCCCCCCCCCCCCCCCCGCAATTGGAATCGATTTTATTCGCGCCTTCAATATCAAAACAGGCAGATTCGGAGAGATACAGGTGTGTACTGAGCTCTCTTTGTCCCACCCCTCCGGCCTTCTGAAATATGAAATGGGAGGTGTCGTCTCTCCCTTTAAAAAAGCGACATGGAAAGACCCACTGAGGCCATAGCATCGTGTTTCCTTTAACCCAACATTTCCCTCTGTCCACTAGTCAAATCAGTCATAAAACGTTTTGAAAATTAAAGTTCCCAATTCTTTTTTAAAATGGTCTTCTGACTCCACATTTTTAGCGTCCACTGGGAGAATGTTCCAGTCGTTTGGTCCTTTAACTTAAAGGGCTAGGTCGCTGTATGTTTTCAATCTGGCATTGCATGGCAACAGCAATAACTGCACAAAAGATCTGAAACTTCGTTTTAAAACGTAATGATGTAGTAATTTTAGTACCGGTAGGTAACGGGGGTGCTGATTGATAAAAAATTGAATACATAAAATATAAAAATTTAAATAAAATGCCTACTCTCACAGGGAGCCAGTGCCACCGGTGTAATACTAGTCCCCCTATATTATTATAGTTTTATATTTAATTTGTGAGAAATATATACAAAGCATCATGCATATCCATATATTAAAAGCATATCAGCCGAAATCTCCTTTTCACTTTTTTTTCCAAACTACAACGATCTGTTGACAACTGACGGGTGTTAGCAATACCTTAGGACAGTGGGAGATACAGTGTAGTGGCCGTAGTTTAAAATTCTTTAAATCCTGTATACTTAACTCTTATTATCGTTTAATGATAGATGGACAGGTATCAGCTAGTAACGTGCTATTGCGACCTGTGATAAGGAACCGAGTGTCCGTGTAACACATAGATCTCCGTTCCTTAGACTTACACAGGTTAGGGTTGGCGTGACGCAAAAGGGACCCAGACCTTGAATCACAATTTACATGGCACCGGGACTTTCAGATACAGTAAGTCACAGATAAGTATGCAGAATATGCAAGGGTGTTATATGCATTATTTGCTATATTATAGAATTGTCACACATACGGCTCTAATCTGCTTTCTCTTCTGTTGCTACGCCATCTTCTCTAGCACAATCAGTATGCCAGGTAATAGGGCGGTGGAAAAGATATGTGTAAAATGCCTATGTTTTCTGATCATCCAGCAATATAATGAATGCGCATTTGGTTGATCATGATTGTGTTTTTTTCAAAGATGTACAGAGACAAATCTGGGTAATGATGAACATTTTATTGCATATAACAGTGCTAATGACGAAAACTGCTCAGAGAATGTTGCTCTTTTATTTCTTTAAAAAATACAAAAATATATAAAAATAATTATAATAATAAAACAATCAGCTATTTAAATCAAAGCACATGTACGCTGTACGATTACGAGTGGCATCAGCCAACCTGAATGAAAAGAACATTTTGCATAAGAAATACAAAACTTAATTTCTCTGGGCATATCGATTTAAGAGCGGCAGCAGAGGAATTGCAATTTACGAATTAAATGATGAATAGAAATGGCATTCGAGTTCCTAACCCTTAATAAATGATCAACATAGAACCGTAAGTCATGTCAAATCTGGACATGTTTACGAGACTTGTGACGGCGTTTCTATTTGTCACTGCTCATCTCCAGAGCTAGTGAAATATAATTATATTTCACCTAGGTTTTTTGACAAGGAAATTTGATTTTGTGTAATCAACAGAATTCATTCCATAATGGCGTATATTGTAAAAATTAATAATGGGGTTAAATGAGTAGAATCAGATGAATAAAGTTAATAAATAAATAAATATTAAGATAGTAAAATAAATAGTACAAGATAAAAGTCAGTCAAATCAGTTATAATTTTTATTTTGAAAATAAAAGTTTCTAATTCTTTCTTAAAATTGTCCTCGGACTCTATAGTTTTTAAGTCTGTAAATTGAGAATGAGTGATAAGGCCCATAAACGTGAAGAGGCTTGTTTTTAATTTGACATTACATGGCAACAGCAATAACTGGTCAAGTGGTCTAAAACTCCGTTTTGGAAAATAATGATGAACTAATTCTAGTAGGTAAGGGGGATATTATCGATAAAATAATTAAAATTTTGAATAAAATGCGTGCTCTAACAGGGAGCCAGTGCAACTGCTTTAAAAAAGAGTTCCTTCTGAGTGACCCTGGGTGTGAGGGTTAAAATCTGCGTTGAAATATTTCTGAATTTGCTTCAGTTTTTTATTCGTTCCTCGACACAGCCATAGAGTAAAGAGTTACGTTAGTGCTAACGAGAGGTTATCATCGTGTGTATGATTGTTGCTGCTGAGGATTGATCCAGGTATCTTCTCCTTCATTGAAAACCACAAAAGTGAATTCCCATCTATCTGTTGATTTAAAGATGTCGCTGCAAAGGGATTTTAACACTGAGGTCAGTTTTGAAAAGAAGAAATAATTTCTCTATCAGAAAATGATCTACAAAGCACCACAAGACATGTGAGCAGGTTCACAAGAATTGTTACGCGATTTCAGATATTTTTAAGCTCCCAAGGCACCATAGATTTAGAACTGTTGTAGCGAACACATTGAAAAATGACGAGTTAGTTCAACAGGAAAAAGAAACAGAAGTTTCGTCAATACAAATTAAACAACATAGCAAGGTGAATGAAGCGTGTCACATACATGTGCGCTTTTAATTTTTCCAACTTCATCGCCTACGGAGTAAGTAAGACTTTGAACGGCGGTTCAAAGGTTACGCCTTTAAAACGTGTGAAATATATGTATTTACTTACCATTCAGCAATATGATGAATACGCATTTTTTTTTTTGAAAAATTGAGACACATTTTAGTAAGGGTAAACATTTTATTTATATAGCAGTGGTGATGATAA